AAATTATATTGTCATTTAAATCCTAGTCAAAATTATCCTTGACTTTTGTTGAATACATTAAAAAATACATATCGGTTACATAACAAATTACATTGCCCATCCCTAGTGAAGTGGCTGTCGGTGAATCAATACGGACCCGTAAATTTTTGACTCGGTTGAACCGTTTTGACACGGTTTACTATAACCCGGTTCTAAACTCTAATGACAGTATCATCGGGGTCATAGTTTTCATTTATCAACCTATATAGATATGAAGGAGGGTGGCCTCCGCTGATATATATGAAAAAAACCAAGTGTTAATAGATTCGACAGTTTAAAATACGCGTTGTGATAAATACGAACAACTTACGTATTTGTAATAAAAATGCTCACGAGTTCTGGTGAAACATAATCGTAATAAGGATTTAATAGCGTCACTTTATCTATTAAATCGCCTTTTATGTATAGAACAAATTACTTGATGAGATAGATTTAACACTTAATAGTAGTTCAATTGTATATTGGGTAATGGCATTGCACATTTGGGCTTCCATCAATAGAAATCAAGCAGATTAACATTTTAAAAAAATGAATTCCTTAACTTTCACTGCTCATATCTCAATGAATTTCAAAGCTATCCTTAGGGATGTTATGTGGTCTGGTAAACCACAGTTAGTCTTATGACTGGTCTGAAGCTGAAAAAATTTGGGTCTACTCTTAGTCTTAAGACCAGACCAGTCTGGACCAGTTAATTCTTAAGACTGTAGACTATTAAAAACTGGACAAAAAAAGATCAGACTGGACCAGACTGGACTGCTAACATCCCTAGCTATCCTTATAATTTGCTTCTTTTGACTATTAAATTACATGGATAGCTTCGAAATTCGCCGAGATATGAGCGATGAAAATTAAGACATTAATTTTTTTTAAAAAATGTCAATCTGCTTGATTTCTATTGACGGCAGCCCATTTAGTTTTCTGCCTACAAAATAATCGAAGCATTGAAATGACTAAATATCGACTGTAGCTCATACTCGACTCACCTTCATTAAAGCTTAATACTGGATCAGGAGCAACAAGATCATTAAATGAATCTTCATCATAAGGATAAAGTGGCGATAATTTATAAAGGCCAGTACAAACTACTACCGGTTTGGAATGGTGTTTAGCAGCTGTAGCTACCATTTGAGCACCGCTAACAGATATCAATCCCCCATTTGCAAGTACTAAAATTAAATTCTAATCAGAATTAGTTTTAAAAAAGATGATCCGATAAATGAATTACCTGCATGTGTGCCCATTATCACTTTATTCACTCTGGACATGACAGCAAAAATTGCTGAATCGGAGATTACAGTTGTGTCAATCCCTGCCTGTGATAGAGATAATGCCATCTCATGACCTAGATATCTGGTCGGATAGTTTCACGTAAGCAAACGTGATATTATAAACTTAAATAAATTTAAATATGCATACGTTGGGAATGTTTCTGCAGCTAAAACAGAAAACTTTCTTTTCTTGGCAGCAGTTTTCAAAAACATTTCCACAGTTCTTGATTTACCAACAGTCATGATAATTTCACTGAATTGTACAATGAAGATGAGCATAATAAATTGAAAATTTAATTACATCTTAAACGAATACTATTGTTCAAAACGTGTATAAATCATACTTCGAATGAATATGCTCCATGGCCTGATCTATTATGTTTACATATGTATTCTCCAATTCATTAATCATCTCTTGTATTTCTGATATAATTAATGGCTTTAAATGTATTCAACAAAAGTCAAGGATAATTTTGACTAGGATTTAAATGACAATATAATTTGACAGATCAAAAGGATATTGGGTTGTTTTCGATCAGAATCTATAAATGTCTCTTTGGTGCCCGTCGGAGGGACATCTCCAAGTAAATTTATCATGGAAGCTGTACTGTAAAAACTATAAGTTCTTATTTTCTGAGATGATGATTTTGATTTAATCTCTTCTTCCTCCTCCTCATCATCCGTAATTGAATCTTTGTCACCATCTTCAGCAGAAGGATCATCAAAAGTGGCAACTTCAGAATTATATACATCACGTATTAAACGTAATACGCGGCGAACGATATTCCCTACGGCAAGTTCTAAAATTAAAAAATTTTAATTTTAAAAGTTTCATTTCTGAAACATGAAATTCAGTCTCTCACGCACCTCGTGGTTGAGCCATAACTAACCTCTTTCCTATATCTTCTTTCACAAGTTTTATCAATGTATCAACATGGTTCCACCGAGTAGTGGACACCACTTGTCGGAGTAGTATAGCGGTCTCAATAGAGACACACCAGGAACCGACTACTTGACTATTTTGATAGTACAAAAAATTGAGAAAGGTAAGAAGGAAATATTGTAAAATACATAAAATTTATTCGAAAAGTAAATACCGCCGACGAAGCCGGTTTATAAGGCTTTCTATTTGTGCATTAAGATCGCGTGGGCCCGTCATATTACGTTCGTATAATGATCTATTGTATATGAGCCACGCAGATTAACATTAACTTGATCAACTAATAAAATTAAATACTATTTATCATGTGATCGTAACTGGGAAATGGAACTACCCAACAAAATTATTGTCACGGATTATCGTGAAATCGGATTATCGTGAAATTTGGATCTATTTTATGTACAGTACGGGACAGCTAAAGATATCCACTTTTTTTTTTAAAAGCGCCAAATTTATGATTATATAATCAAATATGA